TAAGAAGTACCTCGAAGTAGTCGGGTGTCATCCTGGAAATGGTCGTTGGTGAAACCTGGATAGAAAAATGTTCATTTAAAATGTAACACAGTAAGGACATTTGTCCCCCGATTTTTAACCTACGAACAGTTTCTCCAAGATATTTAAGGCCATGAAACACGGAGACTGTTTAACTAAGACTCGTCCTTGGATTTTTGTCACAAAGGATAATTACAGTGGCCAGTAGTTGAAGATGCTGAAATGACGGCTGATGACATAACAATGTTATTAAAGCCACTGATGTGATTAGTTAATTAGATTAGCAGGGGTCAGGCGAGGTCAGTGGGCAATAGCAGCATCATCACAGCAGCAGCACACAGTGGTGTGTGTTTGTGTGTTTATTTGTATGTACTAGTATTTCTTTGTTTTTAACTTCAGAAAGTGTACATTTTACTTTTTTTACTGATGCTGTGTCAGGTCAGATATAAAAGAAAAGAGCGCTGTGATGATGTAGCAGGGTGTGGTTACAGCACAACACAAATGCAAAGAATTCAAGCAAATGAGGGAACACGGAGTCAAAAACATTCCACCGGATTAGAGAGAGATCTTACTTCCTGTTGGGATCAGGTCCCTGTCTGGGATGAAGAGTTTGTACCCGTAATGCTTCTCCAGGACGTCAGGGAGAATCTCCAGGGCGAAGCGTTCCTCCTCACGAGTCTCCTGGTTCCACTGATCGGGGTCCACTTTGGTGTAGGACAGGTAAGCATCATAGTCCTTGTTATCTGTGAAGAAGAGTGTGTTGATTAACTTCTAAACCGCTCCGTAGCTTCATTTATAACAGCTGCTATTTGGCAGCCGCACAGACAGATAATAACAATAATAATAATAATAAAAAAAAGTTACATTAAAGCATTTTTGTTCCCTCAAAACCTCTGAATAACTCCATGAATGGGCTTCAGTGATCCCCCAACAACACTCAGCTCCAGGTAAATGGGCATGTTTTATGATTGTGAACATCATGTTTCCTGCTTTGATCAGCAAAACTAAGCCCCAGATGCTAACAATCCATTTCCATACTGGTGAACAGAGAGCTGTTCAACCCGGACAGGACGCCTCCGTTACACTGACCTCTGGGCCCAACAGCCCATCTGAGGGCTTTTCATTACTGCAGCGTCCCCGCTGACCAATCACATCACCTCCCAGTAACAGCTGAAAGAAACGGTGCTCAGCTCTGAAACAAATATTACGTCACGTCGCAAAAATCTGACTGAAAAAGAAGCCTGGGCATGGCAGCCACAGGCTACTGCAAGAAAAGGTTCATTTCCTGCAATCCAAACCCCATAGATCATAAATAAGGAAAGGACGGGGCTGTCTCACAGCAGACTGTGGTTCCACGGGGGAGAGAATCAGATAACAACAGGAGGCGCTCTGCTGGATTCTGATGGAATGAGGATTGTTAATATGTCTGTGGAGAATGTTGAAAATGATGGACAATGAACAAGGAGAAATTAAAAGATTTCAAAGACCAAAAAAAACAAAAAGTGGTGAAATTCTGCTGATCTATAGCAGACATTTATACTTAATGAGGTTCAGTTCAACAATATAGTTTCTATTTGGTGTCACTAAGGAAAAGAAGAAAAAGTTAAAAACCACCTTATCATGAATGTGAGATTTACTGCATTGTTTTAAAAGTGCAAGAGCTCTTCTGGGAATGGACACAGAAATTTTATCTAGTTTTAATGATTTGTTTGTTGACGAAAAAAAAGCCTCATGTGTCTCAGGAAAAGTGGGACAGACAGTGCTGCAGTGAGAGCACAGCCTGTGAAGTCGGTTCATCGCAGAGACATGAGCTGGAGGAGATGTTCTTGACTTCATTACCACATCCGATCCTGCACAGAAAAAGGAGACATGGCTCCACGTTCGACACGCAGCAGAGAAATGAAAACGATGAGGAGGTGAGGGTAGAAAAGATGAGGAAGAGGAGAAGCAAGCGGAAGAGAAATGGAGCAGCGTCACGTTTTTATTTGTTTTATCAGCTTCATGTTTTCCCTCCATCTTCTTCCTCTCCCTAAGCTCAGGGACTGTCAAGAAGATTCACTCACATCCCGCAGGATAATCGTTGCTTTTACATGACAGCATGTAATTAATCCAACATTTTTTTCAGCACGCAGTTCATTTTACAACATCAGCGACATGAAAAGATAATAAAAAAATGGAGTCACTCTGGGGGTAACTGACTTCCAGGCTTTGTATTCTACACTTTTTGGGCACACAAATGATTTTTTCCCCCCTTCTCTCACTTTGAAACATAAGCTGCGTGGGCAGATCAACTGCTATTCTAGTGGAGCTGAAGAGGAGCGGGGTGGCACAGGGGTAAATCTGGAACGTGGAAGGACTTCGCTGCATCCTGAGACGCCACTGCTAACGCTGCAACACGTCAACAGGAAGAAAAAAAAGCGCTGCATGTTAACTGTGAAAAAGTGTCCAGGAATTTGCTTAAGATAAAGAAGGAGCAGGCAGAGGAGGAGAAGCAGGAGCAGGAGGAGGAGGCAGGTTGTAATGTATGCACAGAGAGCCTGCAGTTAGATGGTGAACTCTTGATCTCGCAGCAGAAAAACGCCTGGAGAGATGGAGGCGTAATCTCCGCGCTCCGTAGTATTTTAGTAGATTGGAACCTAGCTAGCAGAGCTAACTGCTAACAAGCACCTTTGATTTATTCATTCATTTTAGAGGAGACCATTTCGCTGAAACGACATATTTCGCCGAGTGTCTGACAATCGAAGGGTAAACTCCTCTTGTCCAATCGTTTCAGCCGTGACGCTTGGCTTCACTTTTATTCCCATTCGTTACATTTGCATTTATTTAAGGTGGTTAAAACTAACGGAGTCCCCACTGTTATTAACCTTCAGAATAATGAACTAAATGTCAACAGATGGCCTTGTGGGTAAAGGTCTGCATGTATGATATACGAACTGTAAGTCAGTGAGAGATCTACACGGCTGTGAGGGCCCATGTGTGGAGACTAATATCAGGCCACGGTGTCCACGCTGGGACACGTGATTTTCCAGTTGCTTCATAGATATTCACAAAGATCAGCCACATTTTTTTTTCCAGCTGCTTGAACAAAAAACAGACATGAGAGTCTCCATGAAGAAGAAGATAAGATGAAAAAGGCCATGGACAATTATAGATCAAAAAGCGGTGCTGAGTCATCATCTATAATGATGTAGGTGTGCATGAAGGGAACATGTGATTCAACTGGAACTTTAGAGAAATGCGATTGGGTCTTGATGACATTTTCATAAGAACAATCTAGAATGTTAATAGGATCAATACCAGGCCTAGTTCTATACAAAGGGGGAAAAAAAGGGGCCCGCGCTCCACAGCTTGCAATTAGTGAAAATGCCTGGGTTAACATGAAAAAACAGAACACAGGGAGCAGCAAAAACTACCCAGATGTCAACTTGAGTCTGTCTTCACTCTTCTGAAGTACATCAGTTTTTTTGAATCACAAAGATTTAGGTTTTAAGTTACACTTTGAGTGAAATAGAAAACTATGGGGATGAGAATGCTGTGGAGGAGTGGTCAGTGCCCTTGCCTTACAGCCCACAGATCCCTGGTTGGAGCCCTAGTGACCATTTTGCAGTAGCTGGGTTGTAAAGTGTGTCATTTTTAAATAGTAACACTCCCTCTTTCCCACCTCGTGCCACGGGGTGTGAGCTCCTTGACAATCAGTGATGCTCACATCAGCGGACTGTCATCGCTGATGTGCGTAGTTTTACAACAGCAGCCTGATGAGGCTGCACCTCCTCTGTGAGCTCACGGTCACCCACGACAAGCCCATTATTGATCCTGTGATGACATTTTCCCTTCCATTTGCCGTGACAACCTGGTGCTCTTTAGCTAAGGTGCACGGATGACAAATAACTGGCGCTGTGTTTTCTCATTGTTTTCTCATTGTTGGGGGGGGCAGGGGAGCGAGTGAGTGGGCGGGTGGGTGTCAGAGTGGGCCGCATTGTTGGAGAGGTCTCAGTGAAGTGAGGGTGTTTCTTGGCAGCGTGTGCACAGTTCTGCTGCAGATGGAAATAGTACATCTCTGAGAAAGCCAGGCGCTGGCTCCAGGGTGTTATTGATGAAAAATGTGCATGCGTGTGCTTCTGTGTGTGTGTGTGTGGCTATAACTTAGATGCGGCCTCCTCTTTCTGTCAGTGATGTGGTTGCCATAGCGATGGTATCTGGGTAACCACGTCCTTCCTTCCACGGCAAATGTTTCCTCTCAAATCTTCATTCGACTTCTGCCCCTCCTTTTGCCTTAACACCTTTTTTTGCGCTTTTCATGTCGTACACACACCAGAGCTCACGGCACAGGTGTGAGCGCTCGTGGTGTCAGCGAAGCTCTCTAGTCGACCGCGGTGCGGGGGGAAGTGTCAGCGGTCTCCTGGGAGCGGTGCAGGCAGCCTTCTGTGTCTTATTGAACCTCGTCCACTTTACACTGAAGAACAAATTGAAAATCTGTCTCTCTCCTAAAACGGCGGCTCAGGCCACACAATTAAAGAAGACAATTGCTGTTTGGAGTTGAGTTTAGAGGCCAATCGCCGCTGCCTCAGCGCCGTCACATGTAGCCGGAAAAGCGAGGAGGTAATGAGTCCGACTGAAGTAAGTGACGTAGAAGAAGCCAGAGTTAGACAGTGGTTGGAGTGTGTGAGCAGAGCAGCAGAGAACTGAACACTGAACTTTTTCTTTTTTATCTTCCAGCACTCCTAAGTTTTTTTTCCCCAAACCCCAAACAGTCCCTCAGACTCTCAGAACAAATCTCACTCTCCCATAATTCATTGCAGAGATGCTGTTTGAGACACTCACTGCAGGAGGATCAAATTAAAACTCACTGCTTGTCTTTGTCTGATGAATTCTCAAGCCAGGGTTGATCCTGCAGGTCCAGTAGGAGGGTTCTTACACACTAATGTCTTTGTCTGGAGTCCGGGGGCGTCTGCCAGTGTGTCCTGGATTTTATTTCAGTCTTTCATTTTGCAGTTTACAAAGAGAGATGGGAACGGAAAAGAATTCCTTGAGCCCTGAGTCTTGTGTATTTATTTATTTATTTATCTCTAAAACACCTTTTATCTCTAAAAAGTCTTTTAAATTACAGGCTGATCATTTCAATCCTCTTCTCAAAGCAGATCCTGACTGTGTTTCATTGAACAGAATTTAACCTTATTTTAGGTGTAGGTTTTTAGGTTGTTTTCTAGGTGGGGTGTTGTTATTCATCACTATTTATCCTTAGGGTTAATTTGTAAGGTATAGATGAGAGTAGTTTTGTTTCTATTAACTTTGAGTGTGAAGGAAACTTTTAAAGAATCCAGACGTCATTCCTTAGAAGTTCCACATCGTGTGTGTGTGTGTGTGTGTGTGTGTGAGGGAGCAGCGTCCAGAGTTTTACCAGGCTGCCCCTGATTAGTTTCCACCTGGACGTAGACGTGACTAGACAGCAGAGATCTGTGGCTGGACGGCTGCTGTTCAAGAGACAGTTTAGAAACTCCGTCTTTTCATAGACTTTTTTGATGTAACAGTTCCAGTGGACTGAGGGAAATTCCCTGGAAATGAGGAACTACAGGAAGCGTTTTGTTTTTCTCTGGCAGCCGCAGCATCGTTTAAACTGATAAAACATATGGATATTTACATAAATGGACCACCAGGGGCATCATTCAGCTTTGAGTTATTGTTAAATAAAGTGTGGTGAAATTAAGAAATACTCCCAACAGGGTTAACGTCCCTCAGTCCAATGACAGAATGTTCTCCACCTTTTGAAAATTGCTGCACCAAAGAGCAGCGACACTGTGGGGTTTTTTTTTTTGCAACACTTAAAAAAATAAGATTCAGATTTTACCTCCGTCTAAGTCCTCGCTGCCAAAGTGGTTCCTGTAGAAGAGCATGAGTTCGATGCGATAGCATTTGTACAGCGTCACCAGACACAGCAACAGCATGAAGATGGCTCCCAGGCCTCCAGCCAGCTCCACCGTGTACATCAGCTCTGCTAAACATGGCACGAGACAGAGGGAGAGAGGGGGGGGGGGGGGGGGGGGGGGGGGTGAGTCCTCTGTACGTTATCTCAGTCACAGTGAAAAAAGGAGTTTTCACATTCTTTTGTTTTCATTCCAGAGGATTTTGCTCCCCGGGGATGGATTAAAGGCAGAGGACACATTGTGTCGGTGTGTGTGTTTGTATATTTACAACATTTTGTCGGTGTGTGTGTTTGTATATTTACAGTGAAGTTGGAAAACTTTTTTTTTTTTTTCGAAATACAACATAATCCAAGGCTGGATCTTGAGCCAGAAAAGATAGAAGAACAGGAGTGCCATCAAATTAAATTCTTGTAACCATACGTTCACCTTTTTAGAAATTAATTCCTACGCCTGAATTATGACACCTGACACCAGGACACAGATCTGGATTGAACACAGCTCAGTCAATCACACAAAGCCTGTGATCTACTAAGTCAAAGACAGGCATCTGTACTTTGTGCTGAAGAAGGCATTTGTAAATCCATTAAGTTCCTGGGAGAGGGCAGCAACGGCTTCTCTAAAATTCATAACCACCTCTGCCTCACTGGTGCCTTTAAGTAGCTGCACATCCTCAGCGTTAAGGCTGCCGCGCTCTCTCACAGAATTATAAACACTGGCTTTCGCTCCATTTTGCAAACGTTAATGTGGAAGTGGTTTTAAATCTTTTGACGTCTTTTCCATCTTTTTGCTTTTACATAGAGTTAGACCTTCACCTCGACTGATCTGAGTACAGAACTTGAATCCCCTGCATTTGCATCAATCATAAATACAGTCTGGCCATTTCCATAATGGCAGCATGGCCGCGGGGGAAGGACACAGTTTCAGTTTCAAATAAATGTTCGGAGTTCATTTCAAAGAATTGCTGTAAATATGTCAACATGAGGGGGAACTCCACAGACCTTCTCCAAAAAAGAAGAGCTGCAGTAGAAGTTCATGAACCACTGATCTAATGTACTGCCACCTGATAGGTCAAAGGTTAATCACATTCATATGAATTGTACTTTCATAAATCCTCCTACTAAAACTATCTATAGTTGACCTGCAAAATGAATCCATGAATCTCAAAATATGCTTTTTTTTTGCACTTTTTACAAGGTCAGTTACCAAACCATAGATTTTGGTTTTTATTTTATTCTTACAAAGTGTAAAACTGTCGTCTAAATCCAAGGTTTTCCACACTAGGTTACAGTTTGAGCACAAAACAGGAGCGCCTGTGAAATAATGCATGACTCAGTCATGATGGATATCTTGCATTAGCTGCTGTGTGTTGTGAAATCATTCTGCAACACCTCGCCATTTGTCTGAGGGGAACTCTTAATCATCTCCTGCGGTTATATTTAATCCTGCATCAGTTTTCTTGCTTTTGTTTTTACATTTTTCTCTGTTGCCTCTGTTGCTCATTTCCAGGTCGAACAGGAGTCAAAGCACAGTCACATCTGCACCTGTCACTTAGCGTTCCGTAGCCTAACTGGATAATAAAGAACTCTAAATGAGGCCACAGCTATGAGAACAAAATGTGACAGAGTTCAACTGTGGCACTTATGAGCATCGGTCATGAGTTTGTGTTTGTGTGTGTGTGTGTGAGCTGAGGCAAAACTCCCAGCTGTTTGTCGACACGCGCTCGGAGGAATCAGTCATCGCTGTAGCCTGACATGAACTCATGAGCAGCATAAGCGGAGGCTGAATTCATCTGAATATATTTCAGCTTTACAACCTATTCTTTTTCAAATATTCTCCCGAGGCACTGAACACTTACTCAGAAGGATGTTAGGTGATTTTTTACAGCGTGAGACCAGGGTCTCAAACATTAGGGCTTCAACGTCTGGAACCTTGCCTTGAAAAATCAAGTCATTTGCCCTGTATTTCATGATGGCGTCTCTGTTTTTCAAGGACTTTCCTTTGCAGCGCTTTCAGGACGTCACTCCATTTTTCGCAGGTTAACGTTTCCTCTCAGCTACGCCTCACAAAACCAGGCTGGTCAGCCTTCATTGGTTGACTAATGGACAACAGTAAAAGGCCACAGTGCAAAGCCAGGCCTGCACATAAACATGGATGGACAGGACCTGTGTGCATTACCATCCATCACCAACACACATTCAACCTCGGAGCGCAGCAGCTCGCATGGAAGCGGACCGACACCTCTCCTGATAAAGGGTGATGAACTTGGAGAGGTAACAAGTGGGAACTGGGCCTCGTCGGCGTTCCGATCCAACCAGTGACCTTCAGGAGAACAATCAGACCAACAGACGACAGTGGTGCAAAATTAACGTCCAAACAGTCAGTGGCCATTTCAACTCTGGGGTTATTTCTTAAGTTGCAGGGGCAATAACTGGTTTGGAGACGAGCCTTCTCCTCCCCTCCGTCTGGAAATCAACCTCAGTTAAAGCAGCTGTGCAGCTAACGAGTCAATTCTGATCAATTCCACTTCTTCTCATTTTTCAACATCACCATCCATTCCCAACTTCAGCTTTATCTTTACAGGATGAAAACAGAATGATGCTGATGCTCCTGGAGCTGCAGATATTTTTCAGCCGTTGTTTCCCGCCCGGCCTCTCTCACAGTAACGGCTCTGCAGTGACATCAGATTAAGACAAATTAGCTCCTGACCAAAAATGGTCGGCTATGATGGAGAGACACGGCACAGGGCAATTCCACAGCCATTTTCTCCCTGTCTTTGTCATTTTAGGAAGATAAAAAAGAGGGAGAAAAAAGAGGAAAATGAAAGGCAATGGAGAGTGCTTTACTCCTGTTCCTTTCACCCACTCTCTTTGTTCAAATAGTCACTCACAATCACAGGATAAACAGTTATTTTCTCCAGAAGGCAACGTAAAGTGTTTTTGTTTGGCAATTCATTTAAACCTTTAAACAGAGCCGGCAGTTCACACCTGTCTGCCATTAAAAGTCTGTCCTAGTAGAATTAAAAAATGGAAAAAAAAAGTGGTAATAAGAAAAGGAGGTGTGACCCAGGAGTGACCCCCCCATCGACTTTTACCTGATGAAAATTCAAATGCATTAATAAGAGACAGAGTTAAACCTAATCACATTACTGATGGAGCTTAGTTGAAAGTGAAGAAGTGTGTGTGTGTGTGTGTGTGTGTGTGTGTGTGTTAGGGGATAAATCCAGAGATGAGGAAAGTGTCTGAGATGAGACTACATTTATTTTCAGCTCAGAATCAGGGCTTCTAAATCCGAGGCAGGAAAAAGTGGTGAGAATGTGGGTAGTGTAATAAATGTTAACTGGTCAGTTTCCTGCAGACCTGCCAGTCCAGTCTGTGAAGGTCATGAAACATAATGGCTTCTGTCCCAGCCATCTGTGTAGCAACACCGTCTATGATTCAGCATCAGGGATGAGACTGTTGTTAAAGCTGAGCTTAAATCTGTACAAAAAAGAGTCGAAGTCTCCTCTACTAAAACCATGGTTTGGATGGAAACCAGGGACCACAGCAAGGTGATGAAAGGTGATGTGTGGGTGTGTGTGTGTGTGTGTTTTGAGGGGCTATAAACCCTGCCGACTGTTACCATTAGCTCCTACAGCTGCCTGTCTCCTCTGAATCCTCTTTCTGGTTCGTTGACAACAGAAGAAACAAATTCCCAGACTCCTCCTTGCTGTCATTTCATGTGTGACGAACATCTCTCTCATGGTGAGAGTGAAGGCATGTGGTATTATAAAAAAAAGTTCTTGGACTTAACATCCATGTCTTGTTGTCATGGTGACGGAAGCTCTGCCTCACCTTTCCTGATAAGCTGGATGTTGGCCTGTCTCCGTCCGTTGACGTTCTCCACGTAACACGTGTAGTTGCCCAGGTCATTCTCATCCAGCGAGTCGACGATCAGGGAGATGGAGACCTCCTGCTCGCCCAGGTGTTCCTTGATTGTCCTGTAGGGGGAGACAGAGAACACAGCAGATGAGATTCATTTCGGTAGGATTTGTGTTTATTGATCCAAACTAAGACTGTGTTCCTTTTGATGAAGAGGTATTTGAAATTTGGTCTAAAAATCACTAAAAATCACCAAACATGTTACAGAGCAGACAAATGCATGCAGTCTCCTTGGTTTGTCACCATAACAAAAGTAGACACAGGAGGTCCTCCACATCTGTCAGAGGTACATTCCCACGGTGCAGCGTAGCAGTAAGTCGGAACTGACATATTGTACATAAGTACCAAGGTCGCTCACCTACGCTAACACAGTGGTGACATCATGGTAGGACATAAAAACAACAGAAAAGTCTGATGTCCAAATCCATGGTAGATGCTGAAGTTACCACTAAACGCTGCAGATTGAGGACTTCATGAACCGAGGACTCCTGCTTCTCTGGTTTAACTAAACCTATAAATGATCTTACACAGTAACTGCAGCTGTCACTGTTTCAGAGCAACCAGAAGACTGACACACAGCTGCACAGGCGTCTGCCTTTGAGTCTGTTTTATGAACAGGAGCTGATGTAGGTCTATCTGTGGTGAGGTGTTGACAGAAGGATAATGACATGACTGTTATGATCCACTGCAGCCCTGAACTATCGCAGAGCATTTCAGAAAAAAAGATTAATAACTCGAAAGGAAAAAAAAAATCCTTCTGATGTTTCTGTAAAACTGAATTTAGCCTTGACATGGAAAGCTGTGGAAACTGTTTGATCACTGTGGCTTTAAAAATAGCATTTCACCGACCTGCTCTTCGTTATGTGACTTCCTCACTTAAAGGATCTGTGAGAAAAGCTTCCTGTAGATACAGTATAACCGGCTGTCAGGAGACGCAGCCACAGAACCGTCAAGTCGTGAGAGAGAGACAACAGCAGAAACTTCGGTCAAATTAACTCTAACACTTTTTATCCTACTTTTCTTTGGTGCCATGGGAAGCTAACGGCAATGCTAAGCTGTACTGTAAGTGTGTGAGTTAGCAGATGTGCAGTGATACAGCACATCAGCTAATATCATTTTAACCATGTAGGTGAAACATTCAATTGATGATTAAATATTTTTATTCTAGTGTCTAAGTCTATGAAATAACAGACAGTGGCCAATATTGATGTCACAGTTGAAAATGGATTTTCTTTAAAAAAAAGAAATAAAAACAAAATCTCAAAAAATTTAAATAAAAAAACCATAGAACCAGATTTGAATGTAAATATTGAAAAAATCTCTTTTTTATTAAGAAATATCTTTGTTTGATTAATATGTTAAATAACCAGTTATTGCAGTTATTTAAAGATACAATACACATTAAAAAGATATTAAAATAATTGTTAGCATTTTTTGTAAATAAAGCTGGACCCAGGTCCAGTCCAATCAGTACTGCTCAGTTCTACCTGTTACTTTACTGCTTTTTTACAGCTCTGTGAGTGAATGAGTGTGTGTAAAATTAGACACAAATAGTTGGAAAATTGTACAAAACTATTATCTTTGAAGGTTTTCTCCTCATTCAGTAACAAAAAGTACATTCTTAATCCTCCATCTTGGCTTAAAGGGAGAAAAATAACTAATCTAAACTAATGTTGAATTCATTAGTTTAGATGACGGCTGGTGTTCAACCAGAAGGTGTCTGAATCTGTCCTGCTGAGCTGAAGTACACACACAGTGATGATGTAGCAGCAGATTTCCCTTTGACAGTACAACTGATGTTGTGTTGAATGATGCGCGGGGCTAAAAGTGTGGAAGAAAGGTGCCTCCGCCCCAGGGCTGCCTGCTGCAGGGCAGCTGAATATGAAAGCCCGTCTAAAGTCTGTTGATTAATGAAGAGACTAAACAGAGTCGAATGAAAAGAGCAGGTGAGACAGAGAGAGAACACCGCTGATGAGAACAAATCACACATTAGTACAAAACCCCGCCCCCAAAAATAACCCAAAACTATCTTTTTAACAGTAGTAATAAATAGATAGATAATAATTCGTATTGGAACCCACAACCCTCTGGTCCCAGGCCTGTTGTCTCACCACTGAGGCCCCGTGTGCTCCCAGCAGGAAGTACATGCTGTCTGATTTCACAAGAAGGATATATTTTTTCTTGCTGTTTAAAAGACCCAAGCTGCTCAAGAGGTAGGGGGCGCTGTTGTTGGATTCTCTTTGAACAGCAGTCTGGATGGTGTGATGTTGGAAAGTCAGGTCCATTTTTGAAGATAAAACATAACCCAGTCCTTTATTACCTTTATATACCAAATGTATGCATGGCCTCCACCCAGCAGGATACGACTGTAGGAATATATTTTTTGGTACCGCGGCGGGCTGTGATGAGCTGCACTGGTGTCTTTTGTAGTCAGGAGTCTGTGTGATTATCCCCAACATAGCAGTGTGTGTTTGTTATGCAACACTCCCGGAGATCCTTAGTAGCATCAATGACTTAAAAAAAAAACGTGATATTTTACACACATGCCGCTCCATGTCCGTGCAGAAACAGCAAAAGTCTGGCTCTCTCAGTAGCCTGCACTTTACTGTTGTTACTGTTTGTACACTGAAACTTTTTACCTCTGGGATCTGAGGAGTTGTTCTGCGGCTACAACATTTCATATCAACCGGGAATCCCAGCAGAGAAACACTGTGCCAGAAGCTTCATTTCATGTATTACAGGCGGCCCTTCAGGGATTATATTCTGTGTGATTAATTTCCATTTCAAAGCTAAAAGCTCGTGGAGTGATGTCGGAGGAAGGTTTGAAGTGGTTGCACGTTCAAATTAAAAAAAAGAGAAGAAAAAACAGTGCTCAGTTTTATATAGTAGGGTAAAAACTGAATGGACACGTTGCCATTTAAGCTCATCTTATATAAATAGTTTCTACACTTCTCCATCTTTAACTCCATCACACTCCACCACCACCATCTACTCCGGCCTCTAATTGGACTGCTGTCCTTCATCACCCAGAGCAGAGTTGGGAGCCGAATGGAACGTGCCGGTGGTGCTAACAGAGACATCCTGAAATGCCAGGTCACAGGCTGGGCCACCGTCTCTGCTCCCGGCCTTGTCGTGCTGCTCAGAGTTAACCTTTTCAATAGATGCCATTTGTTGACAACAGGGATTTTTCTGCCTGTATGTGTGTGTGTGTGTGTGTGTGTGAGGGGGAAAAAATAGTACAGGACGTACAGGGGAAGAAAAGGACACATGCACAAGTGCTTAATATTTGACAGTAAAGGTACTGATATGTGGTTCATTTGTGTTAAATAGTTGTATTGTCAAAAAGGTTTTAGCATACAGTACATATACATATACGCATGTATATGTACTGTACTATGTACTGTACTACTGTGTAATAACATACATTTATATATACATATATATGTTCTATATGTACAATTACATACATTTATATAAACATATACTGTATGTATATATACATATACGTACATACATACATAGGTATTTATGTTCATATTGTCACCACACCAATGCTAGGCTAGTGTTGAACGGTCCAGCTGCCATTCACTGCATAAACCAATCAGATCTACTTATTTTAATGTATCTCAACTTTAAAAAAAGACAAGTTCTTGACAATAAGTAATAGAAGCCACAGAAGCCAATGGGTTTTCAGGCACAACTTGAACTGGTGACACAAAGTGGGGTTTAATCTAGTCTGACTTCCTGTCTACCTTAAACCTGCACAGACATTCTGCAGTACTAGTAATAAAAGTTAGGTTTTTTTTCTTTATGGGTTGGTGTTAAGAAAATATTTGTGTTTACTGCTGAACTTTACTCCAAAAACAACTGAAGCAAGCTTTGATCAACAAATAGGACTCAATGCCAGCTTTACTAACAGTGCTCTAGTGTGTGTGTGTGTGTGGAACTTGAATATCCTCCAGTCAACAGGCCAAACAGATGAAGGTCACTCACACAGATCAAAACTGTCCGACACAGTGTGGTGAACTTCCTCCGTCTCTTCTTTAATCCCTCACTTTAACATTCCACTAATGGCAGCTCACTCCTGGAACAATGGCTGAGCTGTGTATATTTATGATGCATGATAAAGAATGCATGGCTGTCTGCATTATTGAACAGACACAGGAAGGATGGATGAAGACCATTTGAATGACAGATGGGCAGCCGGGACTCTGAGGATGCACACATGTGCTAACAGGCTGGAAACAGCTGTTCACCTCTGACTTCTTCACTACTAAAGGAGAAATCCGATTTTCTCAAATTTTTCACACAGTGGTCAACATAAACGAGAATTGATTCCTGATAGTATCCAATTTTAATCTCGCTGGTTTACATATAAATTAACTTACATTTTATTCTTTGTTAAACATTAAATATATCTGGTATATGTAGATTAATTCAGTAAAAAAGGAGTGAATTTCTCCCCCAATAAGTTGATTAATGATGGTTACCTTCTAAGTGTTTATAGAAAACATTAACTTTAAAAAATGTTTTATTGTGACGTGAAAACAAGAAGAAACCGTTCCTAATGTTCACCTGTCATGCAGTAGGTCCTGGGTTTGAATTCCACTAATTAATCAGACATCAAAATGGATGTACACAACTGAAACTAATTTAAATTGGGTTCATTCCTTATAGAGTTTATAACTTTCATTAACGTCAAACGTGTGTGACGTCGAAGGACCTACTTGATGTCGCTCTCCTGAACCCGCTCCTCATCCAGATCCTCGATGAACTTTTCCCCCTTCATCCAGTAGATGAGTGGACTGACGTCTCCGCTGTACCCAAAGAAAGCTCGGCAAGTCAGGTTGATGGGACTCCCTGTCAGAGAAAAGATAAAAAAAAAAAAAAAACATCCTTAGTTTTTCACGTCAAAACCTTTGAATAAAGAACATTCACACCTTTGACGAGGTTAGTGTGAACAATTAACTTCATTATGCAGGTTTTCAGACTATGACAGGAAACACAAGTCCCTGGAGAAAGGGTTCGAGTTGTTCACCATGCTGTAAGGCAGCAGCATTGACCACCCCTCCACTGTGTTGCCCATTTATAGAAAATGTTGTGTTCAACAATTATGTACAAACATAAGTAAAGCTTCTCCTTTAACTGTGCAGATGTATCACCTTCAGACGGATATTTTTGACAATTGATCTCAACATTGACGACAATTAAAGCTTAAACTGTGGAACACAGAAGAAAAAGTCAAGAGTATTGATCTGCCAGAAACCTGCAGCAGACTCTGGTTTATTTAAAGCTGATCCAAAAGAATTATCTATTCAAAATAACCTGAGTTGTTAGGAATAAAATGAGAGAGAAAATAAAGATGTAATAATGTCTGAGTTGGACTCCTCTCCTTGGGCAGGCTGTGTAAAGCACACACAGGCCTCCTGGTGTGATCTAGGATCCTGAGAATAGAAGAACAAACCCTCGCCTCCACGTGAGGAGGCGCTTCTTCCTCCGCTTGGCTCCTTTGCGGCACACTGTGACTGACAGATGATAGGCCACTGTACAACATTATCTCTCAGCGAGTGAGCTCAGAGACTTCTCATTTACACCTATCACCCACATGCTGCAGCTGCTGTCAGAGTGCGCGCTGGAAGGGTCTCAAACAGGGGTTGAACCGACATCACCACTTCATCAAAGTGAAGGAGGAACTGCTGTGATCTGCTGATAAACACGGAAGCTTTCATGCATTTTTTTTTTTTTTGCATCCAAAAAAGTTCTCTGAGAGAACTTCTGGCTCTGCAGTGAGGACCCTGAAGTCTGTGGGACGACACATTACTGTGCTGTATGATTGTGTGGTTGCTAGCTCAGAGATAATAGGCCTCGTTAGTTTCATGAACGCCTGCTTCTGTTTGGCCCCCTGGTCGGGTCTAGTCAGTGCAGATGATGGTTATGGAGTACAGGAAAAATAACTCTGTGACGTGAAGTGTTGAGTGTGGGATCTAGATTTACTCATGTTGTGGGGACCGGAGATTTTTTTTATTCCTTCATTTTGTCTATGTCTACTGTATTTTGATATTTTTCAGTATACAATAGGTTTCTTACAAAGTTGTTTTTAGACGGACGGACTAATTCCACCAGGGGTCTCTGTAGAGCTTTATTGCAAAGAACTACCGCAGAATCAGGTAAGACAAAAACAGTAGAAGACACGGTGTTCAGACAGCTGCAGACAGGATTGAAGACCAACAGAGATTTTTTTTTATAATCCATGGCTTTGACCGTGACTGTGAACAGCATGTATTACTGTTGCACCGACTGCTTCACTGCTGCGATGGCCTCTCCAAGGGCCTTCTCCTGCATGTGTCTTTAATGTCCATTGCACATACATGAGAAGAGAGAGCTTTTCAGGGATTTACGTATTAAAACTTAAATATTTAAATTGCTAACTCTTGGTGCTAAAGCGTTGTCATTTCCACAGATATGAGGTATTTTCTCTTTGTCACTGAGGCAGCAGGACAGAGATGTCAGCAGACAGTGAGATGTTAGAGTTAGAGCATTAAAAACCACAGATGATGACAGAACAGACAGGAGTCAGGCAGCAGGCATTTCTGCATCTGTGTGAAAAAGACAGTGTGTGTGTGTGTGTGTCAGCGGTGATGAAAGTGAGGAACAACAGGAACTGCACCGAGGAGATGGTTGAACACGTGGTAAAGGACGCACTGTTCTTGATGAAGACTTCCCCCACACAGGGAACAGAGCATCACTTCACTGTGGTGGTGGACAGTAGATCAGATCAGAGCGCCATCCATGTCAAGCATTCAGGTAAAAAAGACAAAACAAAAACAGCTCCCCGCCAAGAAACACCATCTCTGCTTCTCTTTTCTTCTCTCCTTCTGCAGCCTTATCCCTCCTACAGACTATGATTTCAGCCTTTGCATATAAAAATGACTAGCAACCGCACCGTATGAATCTAACAGACTCAGTCTGGTATCACTTGTCACACACACTAAAGTACAGGCTACCACGACAAAACCTCAGAGTCATGTTTGTGTCACGAGCTGTGGGTTTTGAACGTTGTTTTTCTCCCACTGGCTGGTTGAAAACCACACTACAGGTTTGGAGTATTGTGTTGTAGATTGAAGTACACAGTTGTTGTGGGGTTCAGGCTCACGTTTGAATGTTAATGCCAAAATTAAAGTATTTTCTTCTCGCTGTGGTTTTGAATACTGATGAATATTACAAAGTCCTCAAGAAAATGTAGATGTGGATAATTATGATCTGGTGATAATTCAGCAAACCCAGAGGTTGTTGTGATTTGAAGCTGCATTAAACAGACTGAAGTGGCTCCGTGGAGTACTTGTCAATTATGCTCTATGCAACACACGTTTCACACTGTGTATCATTCCTAAAGGGCAGCAAATACTTATTATAGTCATTATTCTATGAAAAAAGGGAATATGTATATGTATGTGTTTCTATTCATTTATCCAACACCTGATTATCCTTTAATCCCTAGGCAAATGAGGCATGCTGTATTATTGTTGCCCTAATACACAGCTAATACATATAGTTGTTGTAGTTATAGTGTATATATACACTGTGGGAAAATGTTTTTGCTTCACTGCACCACCTCTGGCCTAAATACCACCTCATGGTTCATGGTGGTTTCAGTTTCAGCTCAGATGTCTGGCTTTGTGTCAGACCAACCTCACAGGGCAGTAAGTACGTCTACAGCTGACACGCTGACTGACACAATGGTCAAATGAACTGCGAGGACTGTAGAATACTGATATTCCAATATATTTTCCTGATTTTTTTTTCCCTCCTTCTCCATCATTTGGATTGGTCACAAATACAAACGGGCCTCAAACACACGATTCTAGCTTCTGTTTCAAAATGTTGAAATAAGACTCATGGCTGTACTAGCTCAAATGGGTGCTTCTACTCAATACTGAGCAAAGGGTCTGAATACTTATGACCATGTGATATTTCAGTTTTTCATTTTTAATAAATTTGCAAAAATGTCTACATTTCAGTTTTTTCTGTCAAGATGGGGTGCTGAGTGCACATTAATGAACTTTTTGTATGTATATATATATATATATATATATATAGACACAATTTTACAGGTAAGAATTGAATAGAAACCAAGTGTTTTTAAAGCACAACCAAAGTCAGGAATTGAATGGAAGTGTTTTTAAAGCACAACCAAAGTCACACTCCGTAACGATATCATAACACTTCTTCCACTTCTGGGAGAGATCCTATCACTTCTGGTTTTAATTAACTTTTCCTTTCAATACAAAGGACTGGGCTTTACATTAACGGCCTGTGAGACTTGAGCCTTGTGGTTCATGATCACAGCGAGACTGTGCGACTGATGCAGAGTGAAAAACGGAATCAGTAGATGACATGATTATGGATGTGTGTAACCAGGCGCTAAAAATATTTCACATCAGAGCTTTTGTACTTAGCTCCAGGCAGGGACTGGTTAACACTACTGTTCAGGGGTGCGTTGCCAGATGTGCTGCTTTAATTGTATCTGTGTTTAGCATTCATTTGCTTTATTACAGCCCATCACTCTTTAAGGCAACCTTCCGCTCTGCTACGTTCAGTTTTCATTTAGCTACGCCTCCCTGGTGTACGGTCCATCTCCTGTTATTCATCCTCGCTGCTGCTGCCTCATTATCACTAAGCGGCCAAACTGCTATCGTCATTCTGCTTAATCAATGCATGTAGCGCAGACACTGGGAGACACAGTTATAACGGTGTTTTTTTATGGATCGTATAAGCAGTCGTAACAATAGCCAATGTTCAATTATGTGAAGTAAAATTAAATTTTTTCCGCCGTGTGATACTTCTGCCAGGAACAAGCTGTGGTGGGAATTAAATATGGCTGGTGCTGTTTAATATTACACTCCTATTCATGCATTGTGAAGCAGAGCGTGACATTTTGCAAAGATCAACACCCACACTTCGTGCCGACCCCACTCATAATACACTGTTCTTTAGCAGAAAAGTGATTGTTGCAGATGGCTGCGGCTGGCTCCGCCACAAGGACCACAAGCCGCGGATGAAACCTGTGTTGCTGGTGCAGGGAAGACAGAGTTTAATTCTCCTAATGAAAAGAGCTCATTAGACATTAATGAAACACTTAAAGGCCTCTTCAAATAAACACTAGACAAATGGCACATGAGAAGGAGGGGGGAGGAGGACACCACAATCAAAGAAGCATCAGGCTATGAAAGCAGCTGCCGTGTTGGTTTTGAATGAGATATATATTATGTTTCCTGATGGCTTTGTGATCCACTCATGTGTTTATGTTCTACGCCTGTTGTGGCCTGTGTGTTGGTTTTGCACCAGTTACTGCCACTCTTTATACTGCGGATGCAGAGAAACAAAAACATCTCTTTAAAAACATCTCTCAAATTTAAGTAAAAAGAGTGTAAAATTAAAAGAACATTCTGGCCTGTTCCTCAGCCAGTGACATCAACTGTGCTGTGAAGGGAGAATAAAAAAGCCTCCTTGGCCGTGAGAAGGCAGGTGTTGAATACCAACAGAACATGAATGATCCCTGGGCCTCGGAGCAAGACTGACAGAGGAGAGAGTTGAGCTGAGAAGACGACAAACATCCAATCCCAAGAGTTTTAATGGACATTCCACACCCGGAAAATCCCATGAAAACCACCAAACAAAAAATGACCCAACAATGTAATGACCTTCTAGTTTCAATTACTTAACATGTACCCAGTATTAAACCCTGGTCTGTTTAGTTGAAAACAATGTTGATATGTTTGCAGGAACTGCAGAAAGACACACAGGAAGATTTCCTCAACAGCTCTCCTATTTTCTTTAGTTTTTATATTCATCTGCTGCCA